AAACATTCGCAACGCAACCTTAGTGTCTCTTGCTTGCTTCTTGTTCTCAGTAAAACATTGTATAGAAAATTATTTAAAAAAAAATAAATAAAAATAGTAATCATATCCGAGATTTTTTAATAATAAAATGAAATCTAAAAATAAAATTTTAATTCCGCCATCACAAATATGGGAAAAGTGTGAAATTTAATGAAAATATGAGAAAAAAAGGATGGCGAAAGGGGGATGACAGTGAGGATGTTGATTCGTTGATTTTAAAAGGATTTCCAGCTTTCAAGCTCAAACGCTTTTTAATTTGAATTTTTCTCTTCAAACATTAACACTATTTTCATTTTTTTAATCCGTCATGATTTATAACTCTTTCTATCTACTTCTCTCTCATTTTGTTTCTCTCTCTCTCTCTCTTTCTGTTCTATTCTTTCTTTATAGCCTTTCTTTCTATCTCTTTTTTCTAGTTTTCATAAACTTTTGTTGGTTCAAATTTTCTACATTTTTATTTTCCGTTTTTAGGCTCAATCTAATTGCGTGTTGGCTATTTATTTTGATGGAATTTCCTTCTTTTCTTTGTTTGTGCACGCGGTATAATAAAGAAGCATGAATGGCCGACCTCTCAGAGATCTCCAAGATCTTTCACTGATAATCCTTATCATAAACACTACTAATTCACTGCCCGGCTTATAAGAATATCAAATGACACACATCGAGTGCGCGCGCACGCACACACACACACACACGCCCCAAACACATACACACATTCCTATACAAAAAACACGAACACACTTACGTATATGAAAACACGCAGATAAAAACGTTATAATTTATTCAAAAGCAAACAATAGCGCACGTGCACAAGAATATCATTTCCCGTACAATTACGTAAATTGTAATGCATACGCATGCACACACACACGCGCGAACGCACACATACACACAGACACACACATATGCCCACTTACACAAATACACACACACAAACAGGAAAAAAGATACACACAAACACCTTTGTTAAATACCCTGAGGCATTACACATATATACATTTTGTAGTATAGCGATATATAAATTTAAATATTTATGCATGGTTCTATTATTTTATACATAAATGCGTGTTAATGCACATTTTAATATGCACAAAATACATATTTTTATCATTTTTTGGATAACGAATGACAAAAAGGGTTCAACATTTATTTAAGGCGGGAGCTTAGTAACGAAGAGTTACAAGGGTACAACGACACAGTACAGCACGGTGGTGTTGTTTTAATCAACACTCTTCACCGCACACGCTTTATATAAATATATAGATATATAACGTTTGCGAACACACCACACAAATGTACACACACACACACACACCACACACACACACACACCACACCACACACACCACACAAATGTACACACACACACACCACACACACACATACACACCACACACAAATGTACACACACACCACAACTGTACATAAACAAATTGTTTTCTTCAGTTATTTTGTTTACATGCGTGTGTAGATGTAGGTACGCATGAAAATGTTTGCGTATTTATTATGTATAAAGATTTCTAGTGATGAAGATGTTCTATTATTCTTTCCCGAAAATCCGCAAACTACATATTTTTGGAATAATAGTTTGAATTTTTAAAAAAGTTAAATTGTTCTCGTGTTATCCACCGCGTGCTTTGCAATAATTTATTTTTACTTTTTTGAAATATTAGCCATTTGATATTAACGTTCATATAATTTCGCAAAACTTTCAAGCAAAAAAAGCATTGTTAACAATTTTTTTGTTTAAACCTTAAATTCTTTTTTTGGTACTTTCTAAAACTAATTCGCCTCCAAGCAATTATCAAACAGAGAACAATAAATTGATAACGAATGGATAAAATTATATAATAATAATACATGCAATTGTATAAGATACAAGATACATATGCATGGACTGCAAACAAACACATACATGCATCATGCAATGCAATGCATGCATGCATGCATATATATATATATATATATATACATACTTACTTACTTGAGCGTGCAGTGAGCATACTTGTGTTCAACAATATGTTTCTAAGTGGCCGTGCGAGAGACCGCAGACAGATGAAAATAAAGGGACAAGATTAAGTGAGAGAACGATAGAAAAAAGACAGAAAGAGAGAGAGAGAGAGAGAGAGAGAGATGTGGAGAAATGTAAGAGTGATGCTCCTGGTCATATAAGTTGAACTGCTAATATTTCAGTTACATACTTGGACCGTTTTGTAATGGATAAGCTTCGTTGTTTTGTGGTTATCTATCTTTATAAATTACTGTTATTATTATTATTATTAATATTATTATTATTGGTTTATTATGTTTGAATGATATTGAAAACAGAAATTTCTTTTCAATGTTGAGTTGAAGTTGAAAAATTTATGAAAAATTATTTTGTTTGTATCTTTATATATTTTTTAAATCAAATTAAAAAAATTTAGTATTGACATAATTTGGTTTGAAATGAACGTTAAATAGTTAAAATTTTATTCGATACGTTCAGCTCCAAAGTAAACCATTTTTTTTATTTTTTCAATTTAAAACAATTTCTAAAATGTTAATCATCATTGCTGTCATCTTCTTCATCATTATTATCAAATTATTATTTCACCATTGCTAAAACTACTAACCACAGATGTCGATCTTTTACTCACTTCACCATCATCATCGTCATCATCGTCATCATCATCATCGTTTTAATAAACAGAATTATCTCATCATCTTCATAAATATCTGTAATTTGATTGTATTTAGAATATACCAGACGTATGACTTATTAATCTCTTTAAACATAACCTAACATATCATTTCATTAAACGTTCAAGAAACATAAAAATAATAACCATAAAAATAGCAAAGTAATGAAATAATAATAATAATAATGAGAACTCTTTTATTTCTTCAAAAGCCAAAATATAAATAAAAATTACAATTAAATTAAAATGATCAATTGTTATAATAGTTAAAAGATTGAATTAATGGATAATTTAACATCAATGCTCGTCATTATGATTGTGTACAAAAATGATAAAATAATATAAACAATATATTGCATAAGTAGATGCTATTGCAGAATTGATTAAGCTAGATCTAAAATCGTCACGCCAGCTTATTTTAGTTTGAGATAAATTGAAAGAATTATAAAGACCTATTGGCGAAATTTCAAAAGTGTTGATTAAAATATTGCAATGTTTAATAATAATAATAATAATAATAATAATAATAATAATAATAGGATGGTGATGATGGTAACGATAACAAAAATATTATAGACGCACGGAAAATATTAGCATTGACTTCGGCAATTTTTAAAGACCGATTAGCCAAATAATGCAAAATCCGTTCTAGCAACGTATATTTTTGCTTTCAGAACAAAAATCATTGATTGTTAATGGCGTAAAACTTATTTTCGCCATCACAGATGTTAAAAAATGAAAAGTTGAACATAGAATAAATATTATTTCAATAAAGAATTGGAGTGAGATGATAGCTTGTTTTTCACTCTTAAATTTTTTTCTCGAAATTTTGCAATCGGTTTTGATCAAATAGGGACTATTCGGCTATTTAGAAAATGCTTATAGAAGCGATGATAAAAAAATTATGATCAAAAGTTGTGAATACATTTCAGTAATTATATTCAAGTTAATATTTTATAATACTTATCAAGTTAGTATTTTATAATATTTATTATAACCATAATTATTGTTGTCATTTATGATTTGAAGCTTATTAATATTAGTACGGTTAAAGGTTAAAGGTTACTCTCTTTTGCGTTACCTTCAGAGGTTTCAACGACAAACACACACAGCGTATATGAATACGCGTGCAAACCACGCATCATAAACATTGCATATGATAGGCGGGGATCTCTTTGTATTCGAACCCAGTCATTGCAATAGCAAGACCAGGCACCTTTAACCATGGAGCCATCACGCCGCCCATGTTATTATTATGTTATTATGATTATTAATATTATTATAAATTAAAACATCTAAAAATAACTTCCTGCCAGAAGCAAGACAACAACAGCTTCAGAGCGAAATTTTAAAACGTCATACGTGTTAGCAGCAAAGAACATCCACCAAAGAACCAGCAGCCACCTACATCGTTCAGTGCTTTAAAAAATTTTTTTTTGATTTACCGAGAAAAATAATCCTGGTTACATAAGCCCAAAAATGTCGCATACATGTTCGTTAACGTTCGGGTACTACATGAAAAAATTGAAACAACGTCAATATGTAGGACCAGCAACGACAACGTCATTAAAATTTAAAACAACAACGACAACAACATCATTAGCAACAATTGCAAGATAAAACTTCTGCAAAAAACAACAGCATGTTTAATAAAGATATCAACTACAACAACAACCACAGCGACAATCACACTTGTTGAAACAAAGGCATTAACGTCAAAATTAACAACACCAACACCAACAACATCAACAAACAATAATCCGATTTCTGATGTGTAAATCGAATGTAATCATTTTCGAATCAGCCAAATATGATTGGACGTCATTTCTGTTGCAGAAAGCAAAACCAACCAATCACCTGCGACAATGATTGTGACGTCAAAAACATAAAATAAAACCAAAACACATACAATAAAAGATTATTAGATACGTTAAAATATTTGTACAACAGTTTTGGCAGCATGATAAGCATTAGTAAAAAAAATTTTTATAGTGGCCGCTGTGTATGTAATAGCAGTAGTTTTAGTACAAGTAGCAGTAGTAGTGGTAGTCGTAGTAGCAGTAGCTGTAGTAATAACTGTAGTAGTAGGAAGAGTAGTATTTATTTTGATACTGTTAATGGTACTTGTAATTGTGAGTTTTTGTTGTATCATTGGTTGTAAAAAGTATATATCAATTAGTAATTAATGCTAGTAATAGAATAAGCAGTAATAACAAAGTAGTAACTGAAGTGGCAGCCAAAAATGAACAAAACTTTTTTAAAAGTGACAGCAAGTCCTATCATTACAACGAGCAAGAAGGTTAATTATTATGTACTTCTCTCTTTCATTCATTGACCGATATGTATGTGTGTGAGTTTGTTTGTGTGGTAATAGGAATGTATTTAGGGGTATGTAGGAATGTAGGTATGCATTCAGGGATACGTATATTAAGTAAAAACTGTATATGCAAAATTTTTTTCTATTTAAAATGAAAACCGAAAAAAAATATTGTTATACTGCTCGCTCTTCACCTTTCTACGACGGTTACTGAACGAACAACACTGTCTTTTTTGGGGAAATTCTTTCTGTTTCTGTAAACTCGCTCGCTTAACGTTATATAACTGGATATTGTTCATGTACATAGAATGATGATAGATGACATAAATTAGCGACTTACGTGTGTTGAGTGTTTAAAATGTCATAAAGTTTATTTATCAAAATCGAACAAGAAACCACTCACCCATTATTGTTAATAATATTTTTATTGCTTGTGTATATAAAACCAAAATCCAAGATAAAGAAGGTATTCCACCAGATCAACAACGTAAATATTAAAACAGAAAATTACAATATAAAATATAAAGAGTAACGCAAATAATAATTTGTAAAATTGTTCAAGAGCTTTAACCGTGTTCAAGAGATAACTCTAACTTAACGCCAACGATACACTAGGAGACCTTGCTCCCTAGAGCTTAACTAGTTGTCTGACTCTTTCTAACCAGTCAGTCCCTATTGTATGTCACCTCATCCTTATTACACAAAGTATTATATGCTCTGATCAATTATACGTTATAATATCTTATATTAAGCTACTTTATGTCTGTAAATTTGCCGTCTCGTCGTAAACTACTTTTATAACTAAACTCTCATTAAAATTACATACCTACTTTAACACTTATCTACATACAACGTTTATTTACTATTACCTCCTAACCTAAATTATCCTCTACATAATGACATATAGACGAAAGGGGATATTTCATTGAATAAAGAAAATTTAAAAGTCAATAAAAATGTTTCAGCAATTACACAGAGAGAGAATCAGATGAATAGGCGCTAATTAAAATTGAAAATAATATAATTACAAAAATTATTCAGCTGGAATAAATTAAAACAACATCTTCTATGTAAACGGACAACACATGGTGTATGCAGTTGTCCTAATTGAACAAATGTGTTTCTGCGACTGAGTCATGAAACAAACACGCAAACAACGGAAATGCAAACACATGAACGAACGAACGAATGCAAACACGTGAACGTACGAACATGTAATAAACGAAATGAATGCGTGAATAGCTAAGCACGTAGCACGCAACAAGTCATATGATCATAAACAAGGAAATGAATGTTCGAACTCAAAAAAACAGGTTGTGAAAACAAAATTAAAATTTGTCGATACAGATCAAATAAAATGCAATCAGGCCATTTCAAAAAAAATGTTTATAGTCTAAAATAAAACTTAAAAACAAATTTTGAACTATCAAACGCTGCTCGAACGTATCAACAGACATATTTTATAAAACATTTGTGAAATAAAGAATTAAAATGAATAAAGAAAGTTTTATTTGAAATAATATAAAAATAATATGCTCGTATTGAAAAATAATTTTTTAATATCATTTTTCATTTTTTTTCATTCATTTATTCATTGTTTACTGTCAGAAATATCCATTCTTGAAGTTCGTTCATTTGGAATGAATGGATGAACAAACAGTTTTCTAAAGGCAGACTACTTACTTTTCTTGTTTAAAACATAAAAAAATTAAACTGCATCATAAATTGTACGTGTTTGTTAGTTTCATTTCAAATGATTGTTATTAAAATAAAACAAAATGACCACATACATTTCAAAACATTAAATTTCGCAAAATTAAATTAAAGATAAGTATGTGCATGTTGTTCGAGTGAGTGTGTGTGTCTCTGTGTATGTGTCTGTGTGTATATCTGTGTGTTTGTTTGAGTGTGTTTGCTAAACTTTAGAGTGGATGAAAAAAATGTATAAAACGTTTTATTATCATTTTCATTAGCGGTCGTCGCATAGATTGTCATTACACTGGACATTGTGGTCGGCAAACTGTTGTTTGCTTCCATTTTTAAACTTTGACGAGTGTTTCCTTATAGTTTCCTACTTCAAAGACAACTATAATTATTTTTAATTAATAGATTTTTTGCTGTGTTTTCGTCGCTTTGAAATCTGATCATCATAATCGATGAACATTTTTATATCGTTTGTTTTTCTATAAAGTTTAGAAATTATTCATTCAAAACTTCACAGTAAAAAATCTCATAAATCGAAGTTGAAGTAAAATTTTCAGACGCAAAATTTAAAAAAAAAATAATTTATATTATTGCAATTTTCTTACTTTAAAATATTTAAAGTGTTGTTTGTAAAAAAAAAATCTTTTTCTTTTAACCCAACCGCGAGCTGATTTTTAAAAAAATTAACAAATTCACGTTTCTCAGAAATTATTTAACAAACAATTTGTAAATTTGAACAAAATTGTAAATTTAAATTTTTGAAATTCTTAATGATCACTACTATAACTCATACTGTTGAATTAGGAATAACGCCTGAGATTAGCATATGCACAGCTGATGGATAAAATGATAAGTCTGTTTCTCTGTTCGCAATTTTGCAATTTGTTTCCAGGGTAGAAAAAAACAAAAATTCAGAATTCTACATAAAGAAAGTTTTTTGCAAATTTTTTTTAACTTCTGAATATATTCTATCAGTATTTTTCAGGTTATTTATATGTTTCAATTTCTTTATCTTTGCTCTGTTCTACTTTTCGCTCCGTTTCGCTTGTTCAATGATTTTTTTTCCTCCTTGCGGAATAATTTAACTTCAAACTCCACGCAAACCTGGGAAAAAAGGCAGAAATGACAGAGTTGTGTTGTGAGTGAGAGAGAGAGAGAAAAAGAGAGAGAGAAAGAAAGAAAAACAGAGGGAAACAGAGAAAAGAGGTAAAAAAGAGATAAGGTGCGTGAATATAAAAGAATAAAAAAAAATGAAAAAAGTGAGAAATAAAAAGTGAAAAAATTAGAAAAAGAGTGAAAGATAGGAGATTGCTAGAGCAAAAAAAAATGCGAAAATGAAAGAGAGAAAAAGAGAGTGAGAGAGAGAGAAAGAGAGAGAGAGAGAGAGAGAGAGAGAAAGAAAACGAAGATTGATAAAGTACTCTTAATTAAAAGTTCTCTCATGAATAAACAAAAACGTTTATATGAGCAAGAACACACATAGTACATCGTAGAATACAGCACGGTGAAGTACAATGCAACTACATGTAAGCAATCCAGTACGAACAATCCAAATTTTGCCAGACGGACGGAAACAGGGGTAGCAAAATTAGCGAAGTAAATTATGAACACGTAAAAAATACAATACAAATCTTACATTTTTTATATTTATTCACAATAATAATAGTAATAAAAACAATAATAATAACAACAATAATGTAAATAATACCAAATACAAAATGATATAAAACTAACAAAACAAAAAATCAAACGTCAATAAATTGATTTGAAGGGCGAAAAAGCTAGCCCAAACAAAGCAGAACACTGAGAAACAGTCATAAAACAGTTCTAACGGTGTAAAAATTTTCTATATATGAATAAATTATAGAAGTATTGAGGAGCATAAAGTATTTTTCTACTATTGTATTCAAGTTTATATACCCGAAAACATACATACAAATAAACAAACATACATTAAAACATACAAACATACTCACAAAACACACGCATACAAACATACAGACACACTCTAAGAACACATACATACAAATATATAAACATACGCGTACAAACATTTAAAAACATGCATACAAACTGCAAACATAATTAGAGAATATGGTGCATACATGAATTTCGTACATGCAAACAAACATAGATATAATCAAAATATATACTGTTGTAACCCTTGACTCTCGTAACTACCAACACCGATGTTATAACTTCTGAGATCTCTATATTTCCAACACCAGAGTTGTGGCTTCCAACGACTCTCGAGTCTTCGTTATTCCGTAGGTTCAAGATTTTCCGATAGATAAACACAACTGTTATTTGAATACCAACGGTAATAGAGACAATAAACTAATCCCAGTAACTACATAAATCACATTTACAACTCCACTCTCTCTGCTGGAAACCTCACTTGAAACCTAACTGCTTTAAACTTCGCTAGAAACCTCACTTGAAACCTGACACCGCTCTTTGTATCTACGCACGTACACACACACACACGCACGCACGCACACGCACACACGCACGCACGCACACACGCAATATATAGCAAAGATGGACTGACCCTTCTGCATATTTCATCAGTAAGCGTGACTCATTTTTGCGTTAGCGTATAAATGATGATGACCTTGTGATAACGATGATTGCAATAATGATGAAATAGTTATGCAAAATGTAATGATGATGATATGACTAGATAATGATAATGATGGTGACAATGATTATCTAGATGATAAAGATTATGATGACGATGAAGATGGCAACGATTGATATAATTTTAACATACTCATATTCAAACAACAGTCATACACGCACACACACACACACACACATACACACAAACAAACACACAAAACGATAAAAAAATGATGATGATGACGATAACAGTGATGTGGATGTTGAAGTTAACATAGAAAATAAATTTTTTTTTAATTTCAAATTATGAAATCTTGGCAACGAAAACGATAATGAAATGAATGATGATGAAGATGATGCAAGTGACAAGGATGGCAATGATACTGATGAATATGATGGTGAACATGGTGATGACGACGAAAGGATGACGACGATGATGACGACGACGATGCCGTATTAATAATAACAGACAAAAGAACGCACCGGCTCGTCAAAGGCGAAACAACAAACATATTAATGAATATCTCTGATGAGCTATTGCAATGAGGATGATGAAGATATTGATCAGATCAAAATGGTGATTATAAAAATGGTGAATACTACGCTGACAATGATGAAGGTTGAGGCTATAATGATGATTTTAAGAATGGGGACTATAATGACGATGATGACGAAGATGATGACGAAGATGATGACGAAGATGATAAGGATGATGACAAGGATAAGGACGTTAGCCATGATGAAGTTGATGACATCGTTAGCTTGTTTTTATAAAGAAAAGATGACGATGACATTGACAATGATGATTATTTTATAATGATGATGATAGTGATTAAGACACTGATGATGATGATGACGACGATGATGATGATGACGACGACGATAATGTTAAATACAGTGATAAAAATGAAGACAACGTTAGCTTGTTCATAAAGAAAGGATGGTTACAGCGGTAATAATGATAACAAAGATGATGACGACGACGATGATGATGGCGCTGATGATGAAGTAGAAATAAAAGTTGTGATGAAAATGTCAGAAAGATTTATTAATATATAAGAATGGTGAAAATTATAATGGCAATGTGGATGAAGAAGAATGATTAAGGATGATGATGAAGACGAAGACGAAAGGGGGAAAATTTGATTGCGATATTTATTAAAACGACGGCAAGTCTGAGGATGACGAGGTTGATGATGTCATTAGATGTGACGTCATAATGAAGATGATGACCATGAAAAACAATAATAATAATAATAATAATAATAACAATAATAATAATAATAACGTTGTAATAATAATAATAACAATAAAGATTTTGATAAAGCCAACGACGATGGTGGTGATTATGAAGATGGAATACTGTTTACGAAAAGGCAATGAAGGTAAGAAAAAGATAGAGTATAAGTGAGAGAGAGGGAAAAAAAAGAAAAAAAAAGAGAGAGAGGAAGAGAGAGAGAAAGGAAGAGAGAGAGAGAGAGAGACGCACACGCGTAGACAGTTGAAGATTAATTTATTTTATTTGCCAACCAAGCGCCAATGAAAACAGCGTTAAAGTGAAATTTTTATAGCGCTTAACGCTGAAATATAAATTTGCTCAAGAGTTCTAAAGAAGTTTCTACCGACGGAAAGAGGTTTGGAAAATTGTAATTAAAACAAATAACTGCATTGCACTAAGAAAGGAATTTTTTTGATTTCAAAAACTTTTGCTGACTGGTCCAGATAAACAAACAAAAAAATCATTAGGTAATACCATTGAAAGAGTTGCTGTTAAAAATACATTCGTGTGTGTGTGTTTTCATGAGTGTGTATGTGTGCGTGAGTGTGTGTGTCTGTAGGTGTATCAACACTTATGTTAGTTAATATAAAAGAATGTACTATGAACACCCCATCCTGGCAAAACGTTCATTGGATCAGTTGTTTATTTTAATTTTTTTATTTCATTTTTTTCAGTTTTTAACATTCTCGTCTCATTGTTTACCTTTTCAGTACATTTTTCCGTCATTCATTCTTTTTTTGTATTTAGTTTTTATTCACACCATCATTCAGTCATCAATTCACTTAGTGTTATCTTTTTGAATTTATTTTATCAAGAATTCATTCATACTCTCATTCACTCATTTATTCATTCATTCATCACCCCCCCCCCAAATATTTCATCATTTGATCATTCAAACCCGACAGCCCCTTGTACTTGAGCCGCCGTCAACAAGAGGCGTTGGCAGTCCCCTTCAAGTATTGCCCACCTCAAAACTGGACGAAAGCAGTGCTCAGAGTTCAAAGATTGTGGTTCTGCTTGCCTTGATTCTGGGCGGTACCCTGGTCTCCATTGTCATCCTGTTCTGCTGTGGCAGCTGCTTGAAGACAGTGAAAAATATTAAAAAGTTAGCTGCGTGTTTGGTTTAGTTGATTTGTTGTTGGTTGATTGGTGGGTTAGTTGGTCGATTAATTGGTGGGTTAGTTGGTTGATTGATTGATTGTTGAGTTAGTTGGTTGATTGATTGACAATTTTTTGGCTGTTTATTTATTTAACTGGTGCTTGATTAGTACTTTTTTTTACAAAATTAGTTTTTGGTAGTAGAAAAATACAATAAAATTGTTGACAAGAAGAAAAAAAACTGTATATAGTTGCATGGGTTATTAGTTTGACGGTCGGTTGTTGAGCGTCATTTAAGTGACATTTATTCGTTCGTTGATTGGCCGATAATAAGCAGTGATAACAATCGACTCGCTGCTTTTAAAACGTCCTTACGGTAAACTTCAAATTAAACAAGACATCTGCGAAAAAATGTGTACCCACATAAATACATAGGTACATACATAATTATATATGCACACTAACGTACACTTACATACATGCATGCATACATACACACACACAAACGCACGCGCGCGCGCGCACACACACACAGATGTAGATTAAATATCTCATGTATAATACAAGTCCCATTCAAATTCCGCACATCAGGCATCTGACTGAACGCCATAAAAATGCGTGTGTATGTGTGTGTATGTGTGTATATGTGTGTTGTGTGTGTGTGTGTTTGCTTTACCTCAAATGTGAAGACGATGACGACGATGATGATAGTATGTAGTTTTTATAGTGATAGCAGGAGAACGTTCATTCCGTTGTTTTGAGCTAATGATGGATTGCTGCTCTTCAATGTCATTACAGTACTAGAGGTGGCATTTTTTTAAATAAAAGTAGTAGTAGTGGCAGTAGTAGCAGTAGCAGTAGAAGTAGTAGTAGCAGTATTAGTAGCAGTAGAAGTAGTAGTAGTAGTAGTAGTAGTAGTTGTTGTTGTTGTTGTTGTAGCAACAGTAGTAATATTAATAGTAGTATTAGCAGATGTAATAGTAGTAGTAGTAGTAGTAGTATTAGTAGTAGCTGCAACAGTAGAAAAAGAAGTAGTGGTGGTGGTAGTGGTAGTAGTAGTTGAAGCTTGAAGCTAAAATAAAAAGAAAAGTGACAGAAAAAGGAATAAACATGGCCGTTAGCGATGATGGCAGAAATTGTTGAATAGTTTTTTTTTCATTATTTCACAGTTATTTTTTTTATTTTAAACTTTCTCCAGTTACTGCTGTCTATCTTCTATTATAATGTTTCATGGTTTTTTAATTACTTTAAATTTAAAAAACAAATAAATTAAAACTTCCAGTTGGAACAACAAATCGCGTATACGTACGTGAATTATTAATGAAAAAGTGTCTTATTAATATTAAAATGTTCGAATTAATATTGAAAAGATGGCCTAATTAATAATTCATGAGGCGGC